AAACTTACAGTTCTTAAAATTTATAGAAAGCAAAAAAGGAAGATTGATTTTCAAGAAACGCCCACTAAGCTTAATTATGCCACCTTCTCGAAACGAAGTAGAAATTTTCTTAAATAAACGAAAATCTGTTCCAGATATTCTTGCATGTCCCATACTTCATTAGTATAGAATATAGGAAAAACTTTTGATGAGGCTTTTAAGTCTATTCGGATGGAAAAAAATTCATTTAGGAAGCATAACAATTTCACTGAGTTGCAGTAGAGGTTATATTCGATGAGGGATTTTCCCAGGCTTAGATCTAATTTAGATCTGAGAAAGTTATCTGTAGGCTTATAGTAGTTTACGTCAAGTATAAGGATTTATTCCCCTCTACCTGAAAAATGTTATTCTCGATTCGGGAAAAAATTGGAATTGTTTTTCTATGATTAACTGCTTAAGAAGGTTGTTTTTAAGGCATCTTACCTCTCAAACTATACAAAATTAGGAAACATTGTTACGTGAAGCACGGTAATTGTTGCTTTTCATGTTGCATAAATAAAACCATTCTGAAGATGGATTTAATAAAAATATTTTCTCCCATAGTCTTTTCGGATCAAGCAAAACCATTTCAAAAAATCCTTGAGCACTTATAACTTTTTTTCAGTTTAAAAATTTAAAAATCCAATTATGCACAAGAATTTCACTCTGTCAGCTCTTCCATTCTGTATATGAGTAATGCATGGCTGAGTTTTGTTTTCGACATTACTAGATCAATCGGCCTTTTCAAGATTCTAATATGCATCAAATCTCTGATTTGTAGACATTTTTTCTAATATTAGAAACGTCTGAAGTACCGGCTACTCTTGAATTTACAGTGTTGTAGTACATAATCCCTTTATTAGACCAAATTACACACAAGTATGCTTTTTTTCACTAATACACTCTTTTATACATTCCTCTCTCAGTACGCAAGATAAGCTTTTCGAATGTGCAAATAGGATACGATCGAGCTTCACCAACTGTCACATTCTGGTGTCTTAGTTATAATTATGAATGACAATGCACTTTTTGTTTTATTTTACCTTGCACTGCTCGGATTGAGAGCAAAATTGTTAGAAAAGTAGCGACGGAGGTCATTTCCTAACTTTAACTTCGTTCTTATGTTTACTGTAGTAAGGTTTATGTTATTTTTATAACAGTTGTTTTTAATTTTGAGACCCTTTCCTTTCAATTCTTGTTTCCCACTTCATACCAGAATGAGATTTTAGAATCGCATTGAATGCAAATGAGTTAGAAGTAGTATTAAAAGGAAGTTCAGATTACTTCGAAAGAGAGTGCTTAGTGGCGCGTGTTTGTCTGTCTAATCCATTCTTGAATCTATTACGCTCTTCCGTATTTCACGTGCCTGTTGATAATCGCCGGCTATTTTAAATTAAGGGCCAATTGCGTTAGATATTTGTATCTAGCTTCGGCTAAGTCTATTTTAGTTAGTATTTGATTAGTTTCTTATTTTCTTATTCTGAATTAAAAGCCCGAGAAGGGGCCGACTGTTATCATTTTCTTTGAGTGAATAAAAGTGTATTTTAACTCTTCTCGAGTCTACGTTGTAAGTACTTGAACTCAGCGATAAGTCGCTACTTAGCTCACCAGGCTCCTCGACATTTTATCATACGCAAAATAGCGATGGATATTATATAGTTATAATATCATTCTTTCCGGAAGAGTCTGAAAATTCAAAAATCCGCTGTCACAAAGCGATATATCATACTACAGTATCGAACGCTGCCAGGGTGTTTTTAAAACCCCACATAAATAATACGATTAGAGAATTCAGTGGTTAACTACTCTGTAGGGTTTCACTCTTCAATTAATTTCTGTAACTCTAAGTAATATAAATAATTTTGTGAAAATAGTTTCAACAATATGACAGGAAAATCTCTGTAAATATGAAATGTAACTGTTATAAAGTCACCGCAAATTCGAAGTTTATAATAAAATTTACAGATATAATAATGATACAGATATAATTTACAGATATAACGAAGTTATAATGTTCCTCGTACTATAATAAGTTAAATGAAAAAAATCCCATAACGTTACGTGCAAAATTTGTGAAGATATTACAAGATGAATTTATAGACGTTTATCACTTTTTAATACTTTTTTCATACTAATCATTTTTCAACGAAATTGAGGGATGAACTATAAGCAAACGTTTTGAATAAAATGGCAATCATTAATAAATTCGTAAGCGGCTGCATGAAAATATTAATTGCTCATGCAATAGTGAATTTTGCTAAGCAAAATTAGGAAAGGTTTCGTGTTTAACTTATTAAAGCTTAAGCAAGTCGTCAGTAATTTAAATATTTCATTTACAGTGCTGGATAAATATGCCAAATTTCATATTTCCAGAGTTCTTTTCTCTTCAAGTGTTGAAACTCTTTTTATAAAAGTCTCTATTTTATTTTGAAAATTTTTTAACTGGAAATACACATATAAATCGAATATTTAATGAAATCTTAAAACCATTCTATTCTGCACCGATATAGCATTAGAAATATCTTTTGTTATTAATAAAAATTCTTCAGATATTCATCATTATAAGTTGGATATGTTATAAATTAAATATATTAAAAAGTGCACAAACTAAGTGTACTGTAAAAGTAGATATTTCAGTTATTAAAATTTTATTTTAAGTTTATTTTAAGTAAGTATTTAAGTATTATTTCAAGTTCACTATTGTTGTTAAGCAACGCAATTATATTGTGAAATAAAATTAAAGATGTTTTATAACATAAAATGACAGAACTTCAAACGTGGATATTTCTTAATCCACGTAAAAATCAAGATATTATATTTCGGGCAGTAATAAAAACATATATATTTGCTTTTTTTGCGTACTATCTGTTGAATTCTGCGTTTGTTTCGTTCGCTGTTCTTCTGTCTTAATTACAAAATCTTTTAATTGATGCACATGAAAATGGGTTTCAAAAGCTTAATGCAAAGTGTAAATATGCAAAATTTCTCTATTCTTCCCAAAATTTCAGCTTTTTTAACGAAACTTTTACTTAAATATTTATTTAAAATGATGGTATAATTTTTCCAACACCACTTGTGTACTATGGATAATTTCATCCTTCTAGTGTTCAAAATTAGTACATGTTTGTCTTTGGAAAAAAAGATTAAAGAGCTCTCCTGTGTAACCAGTTACTATATTCAAATACCTTTAGGAGCTGTCTAAATTAATTCATGCTCGGTAAAATATTAGTTTTAAATAAAATTACCGCAATACAAAATGAAAATCCAAAACGCTACAACAAATATTGCCAGAACCATACCAAAAGTACAACTCTGCCTTTTTCGTTTCTTGTTTTCATATAATTTTTATGTTCTAGATTGTATACGAATGGTTTAATGTATACTCAAAAGAATTTTATACTCTCTAAAATAAATGTATTAAAATTACTGCTTTTTTTCCTCCGTTTGAAAAATCGTTTCTCGGAAATAGCGTTTTTGCATAGTCAGAGTTAAGAAAAGCAGAAATTTTTAAATACTTGAGAATTTGAACTCTAAATAAATATCAGTTTTTTAGCTAAATAAACAGCGAAACATTTTCAAGTCAGATTGGACTGGAAATCAAAGATTTTTTAAAGATTTAAAATATCGGCAATACTTTAAAATTTTCTGAGAAAGAAAAGAAAACTTGTTCAAATGTACTAAAAACATTAAAAGGGAAAGTTATAATTTGCAACAGCAATGTTAGTTAACGATATATTGCGAAACGAAAGCCACAATAAAGACGCGATAATCTCATGTATCGCAGAAGAAGTTAAACAACTGTAATAACCTAAATACGAAAATTTATTTTACAAATTTATTTACCATAGCAGTAATGCGCGACATTTATGTTAGCGGCATTTGCTTCTTCAAGAACCTAGCTACAAACGTTATTGTCCTATAATTTAACCGACAGCAAAATTAATGATATGCATTAATATGTACATCAGCTCCCTCAAACAAAGGCGAAATAAAACCATATATTACTTTGAAATTCACAAGGAATAAAAACTAATTTTAATTTACTGTAATATATTTATCTACAGTTAAATTTACACCTGTTTTTCCTAAAATAAATTATCTGTTTACTTATATATGACTTGCGCTACAAAAAACCGCAGAGATCTCCTTCTATTTTGTAATATAACAGTAAATAATAAAATTGAATTCTTAAGATACATCCAGAAAATTTGAAAATAACCTGCACAGAAATCACGTACGTTATGGTTTGAGGTGCGTTCGAATTCCGAGAAAACGGCTGCGTGTACGGGCGTTTTCGCAGTTTATCTGAAATTTAAATGACTACACTCTAAAAATTAAATTTATTTAAATTCAGATAAAGGACTGCACTCTAAAAACTTAAACTCGCATTTAAGCAATAATACGTCTTAGTAGTTTCACTATATGTAACATGAATGTCTGACAATTTCTTTTGAAAAGTCCTCCTTGAAGATATCTGTCTGCTTAAGCAGACAGCCCTTTCGAAGTTCGCTATAAATTACTAAATAAACAAGCAAAAATTATTCTTAGTGTATCAATTCATTTCTAGTTTAGGGCTGCCAACTAGATGCTACGTATAATAGGCATCATGCAGAAGTTTAAACTTTGCAGGACTAATGTGATGGTATTTATGGATAAAATGTTTGGAAAACCATCCTGCAAATGTCCTTCACCGATTCTAAAATTCACGTAAACCAAGGTTATTATGAAAGCTGTCTACATATTATCTACATGCAATTATGTATTCATGATATACCAAAGGTTTTCTTAAAATTTGTTTCGCGTTTCTGGGCTAAGGAGACTGTCTGTGACTTTTTCAAATAGTCGCAAATCTACGAAAATGTACTGAAAAAATAACTAAATTATTTCATCCACTGAAAAAATAACTAAATTATAATAAAATAATTATTACTCGTAGGTTAATTCACACAACGCAAACCGGATCAATTGAATAAAACTTCTTGTTTTTACTTACCAAATTAATTTATTTAAAGTTCTATAAAAATTTTAAAATTCCGATATAGAAGTCATAATTATTCTGAAGAAGTGCTTCTGAAAATATTTTAACATCTCAAAGCACATGCACGTAATCACAATTGTCACAATGTATCCAAAATAGTTTCCTATCCTACTGTACTAGGCTGAGATTCAGAATTTGGGAATAATTGTCCTGGATTATCATTTTTATGAACGACCATATCCTGCAAAAATTTACCTGCTAAGTTATCTTTTACATATTCCTTTCATTTGTCAGTTGAGAAAACATCTTCTGCGTGAGACGTAGTGTATTCTAGTACACATTTATATAGCTCATCATCAGAATGTGAAAGGGCCAGTTGGAATACTGTGCACGCGTTCCAAGGAGTAAGACGGGATTTTAAATAGGACGAACATTTTTTCTTGAGAGCTGGGACATCGTACTTAAAAGATGCTGAATAAAGTTTCTCCATCTCGCAGAATGGATCAACCGGTCTCTGAAGAATTGCCCTCAAGGTTCTTTCAAAGCTACCTGAATATATATACGCAAGCATATCATTCATTACATCGGGACTGACATCTGTAATATGAAGTGTATTATCATTCGACTCCCTCAGTTCCGTTTGGAACATTCTAGAAAAAACAACAGATCGGCTACATAGAATGAATTTGTGCGCGGACAAAGTTCTCGAACCGACCGCTATAGTAATGTCCGATAATGTTCCACTCTCATAGAGACTACTAAGGTTGGCGCTAAAATGATGGTAACTTAGAGACGATGCAAAAGCACAAGAAGATTCAACGATTTCAGATGAATGACTGCAATCTGAAATTTTAAACTCGCATTTAAGCAATAACACATTTTCTAAACCTTTAGAAATATTTCGGAGAAATTCTGCGCATTTCCATATTCCATGTGAGTGGAAGAAGTATTCACTTTGAAAAGAACTCTCATCGAAAGATATCTTGCTTTTCACAAAAATCGGCTTGAAATTTTCCTCTCGTATTTTACAGAGGCTGATACTAAACATTCTGTTATGCATCACATCTTCAAGTATATGTAGAGTTAAATAAAATCTGCAAGATTTTAATTTACCTACAGTAAATAGATGACTACGTAGTTCTGTGTTTATAGGCAGGCTGGAGAAATTCTTTATTGGCCATTTGAAAGATGTTTTTAATACATATACGCGAGTTCGCGCTTTCTGTTCTAAAATAATTACAGGATTCAAGCCAGAAATCCCATACCTTGCAGCAGCTTCATATAGTTCTCCTAATAATTCAGGACTATTGAAATCTACTTTTCCGGTGTAAATGAATTGCAGCACAGTCTCCAATACATTAGCTTTCATATCTAGAAAGAGCTCAGAGCTCGCTTTTGTATCGAACAGTTCTGCTAACTTAGGCCATCTCGCCCATAACATAGCTTTATGCACTCTGAAAACTGCACCACCAGCATGCAACACGACATCTGTGAGTAGTCCAGTTTCGTACGAAATCTGGGGTAAAAGTTCTTCATAATCTTTCTGCCACACTGCTTTCAAGATGCATTTTATGATTAGGATATTGCTTGCTAAAGACATCAAACGATGACCTTCGATACGGCAAACGCCGTCAAACTTTAGTGCATATGGAAATAAGACAAAAGGTTCTTTGCTTTCATAAATTAACGTTTCGTCACGATCTAGTGCTTGAACCTCGCATGTTACGGTACACGGAGATGGTATGAAAGAACTTCTTCCTAGTGAAAGGAATGCAATATAACTCTCTTGAAGCTGAGAAAAATTTAGTTCGATGTACCATCTGATGTCTGGTAAAGAATTCAAGACAAACCTTGGGCTACGAAGAACTCCTAAGAAAGGTGACCACATAATGAAGTCTTCAATAGTCCAAGTGAATGCAAATTCATATGAGTCGTGATCTTGTTCCTCCATTATGCAGAATAGCGCCTATCCATTAGCGATATCAATTTAACATCTGAGATAGGTTTATTTTTTTACGCATCATCTGCGCCCTTGGATAATCTTATCTTCTCTAATTGTTATGAGTTAAAAGGAACTGAAACTTTCGACCCCGACGTCATTTTAACAATACCCCACGCATTTCTCCTTCTCAGTTGTTCTTATCGTAGCCCTTGATATAGTACAGTGTAATGTTACACAGTGAAGGAGAAATAATGTGATACCTTTACCAATCTGTCAGACACAAAACTATTATTAATTCCGCTCTAATCGCTACATTTCACATGTTTCTCATAAACTATTGATGTTCGTTCGTTATGTTCTGTAAACTGCTAGTGAAATTATGAAATTAAAACGCAATTTCTTATACTTGATTATTATCAATTCCAGTAACTGCCAAATTTAATACGGGGAATATCACATACTTCATTAGAAATACTTCTCGAAAGTATGCTAATAAATAAATGACATTTTCTCTAATTGTCTTTTAAATAAGGTATTATACAGAAAAATTATCTTTGTGCTTTTTAAAAGCAAAAAAATGTATAAATGCAATGAACCAAATAGTACAAACGAGTGTGAAACTTTTGCTGACTTCAGCTGTAGGAATTACTCCAGTTTAAAATTGATTTGAGTTTCATTGAAACTTTAGTTAACAATAAATTCAACTTCATTTATACTTTGTTATGCCTTTTTTGTCTGTATTTATTGTTTTACTAGCTATATGTATTAATATGCGAAAATTATGTGTGCATATTTAAACAGTAATAAATATACTATGTTCACAAAAGTCATTATTTGGTTTTTTATTTTTGCAATCATTGTTCAGAGGCATATACTTCTAGTTACAAAAGTGTTTTAAGTGGCGCAAAAAAACTTTTTATTAGGAAAAAAAGGTTTGATTCTCTTACAATAAAAATTGACTAAGATATTCAATTTCAAAATGTGTGGTTTTTGATTTGCATAGAGGGAGTCGGTTAATAAATAAATTAGACTAAATCGAGGGTGATTTTTTCCTCCTTTAAATGCCATTCAAGCACATTGTTTTGTGATTTAGTATTGTTTTTACTTTATAATTCTGTTCCATTTAGTATGCCGAAAGAATTTTTACACAAACAGTTTATATGTTATGCAAAGCGAGCTGTAAAAAAATGTGCTATTAGCATTCTCCTGAAGTTTTATTACTTTAGAATCATAATTTGGTAATCGTACAAAAAGTTTATTAAAATACAAATATTTTAAAGCAATGCAACTATTACTACGAATTAGCTACGTACATATTGAAGCCTGCCATTGTTTCTAGAATATGAATTCTTTGAGATTCTGTGAATAAGATCTCCATTTTGAAAAACAGTTATATTGATCAATACGTTTTACAAAAATCTTCATACAAGTGCTTATCAGGCAATGTCTTAATATCAAAAACCGTTTTCTAAACGATACATTAAGTTAGGTACGCTGCAAACATTTCGCTCTTCAATTTGTGTATGACACCTAAATATGATCATCGATTTTTGCTTTATATGATATATATCGGCCAATATCTCTGCCAGTTTTTTGTCGAATATCTCGGCCAATTTTTTGCCGTAGTCAAACATTTTTTTTTAATATTGAGTAGAAAAGTTTGCTAAATATAACGACCGGAAAAACGTGTAAGGAGTTAGATTTCATATTTTATAGACAATTAATTTTTTTAATTTAAAAAGTACAAAAGCATGAATTGCGTCATTTAAAACATATTTGTAATATGAAGTTGGTTGCGAATCAATGGTTGTAAAAATAAAGGCCGGCTAAATACTTTTGTGAACACAGTATATGTATTAATGTTAAGTGTACATTTTAATATTAAGAGATAATATATATATGACTGGAGTAAAAGTGATAAATATAAGCGATGATGGAAATGATGATTTTTAGGCATCATAATATTGCACTTAAGTCAACGCTATGTTAACATGTTTATATACGAAACGTTCTCACATATAATTTCGGCGCATAACAAATATGTATATTCTTAACGAAATGTACAGGCGCGGTGAGATAGCTTCCCCGCAAAGCAGTTTTAGGTTTGGCATAAAATGCAAGATCATGGCAAGAATGTGGCAAGGCAGAATTGCCACATTTGGCGAGTGAAGAAACAAAGTATGAAGAAATGAAAGAAGTAGCTAATGAACTGCCTGAGAAAGTTCAAGAATTGATAGTTGAAACATCTAAAGAGATTAAAGGAAAAAAACGAAAACATGAAGAAACAAAACAGAGGAAAGAAGCTTTTGATTCTCAAGTACCTGAAGTGGAAGAAAATGAAAATGCGACTGTTAAGTTCGTTAAAACTGACGGTGAAGTTGCAAAGTCGCAGGCAGTAAGTGTTGAACCACCTGAAAGTGCAAGTGATGCAGAGATGGGAGAAGCTGATGTGCAGCTTAAGCAGTGCTCTCCAGTATTACAAGAAAATTCACCCACTTTGCAAACTATGTATGCGGCTCATAGTGCAGGTTATGCACATAAGGACTTGATTCTAAACCTAGATACTTGTGTTTGTGAAGAATCGGATTCCATTCGCGACTCTAATGCACACATCGGAACTGGTTTCTGGAAATAGAGGAAAATGAGCATGTAACAATTGCTGAAAATACCGAGCTGAACTGTACGCATGCTGAGAATGAATTACAGAGTGTTGAACAAACTGTTTCACATCTTCCTGTGGATGAAAAGTCTGAAAGGACTATATCTTCAGTCTGTGATATGCAAAACAGAAATGCATCTGAGAACTGCAGTGGAAAAGTATTTGACTCGGATATCAATTAATGAAAAGACTGAGACTGAAATTTTTTCCGAACTTTAATTTGTATAATTTAAAATTGTTATGTGGTTAATTTATGTATATAATTTGTACATAGTAAATTTGTTCGTTATATGTTACTTTTTTGTTTATTATTTTTGTTTGTATCGAATTAGGCTTCTGACCAAGTTTTACTGCCGGGACGTGCAGTCCTTGGGGGGGCATGTTACGAAATGTAAGGCGCGAGATAGCTTCCCCCCCAAAGCAGTTTAGGGTTGCTATAAATGGCAAGATAAGGCAGCGTTGCCACGTTTGGCGAGAAATTGACCATTTGGCGACAAAATTGGCGATATGCCATGGACGGATGGAAAAGCTTCTGGAACGAATTCTTGCCGGTTTAGCCCAGAATGTTCTTGAACCACCAGCCAAAGCTATATGAACCCTGCTGGTACGCGGAGAGTTAGTATCGAGTTGGTGTCTCGTCTAGAGAGTTATTCCCTGCGGAGTCGATCGAGTTGACAGCCGGGCAGCGAGTGCCGAGTGGGTCGTCGAGTGCACCGATAGAGTCTCTTAGTGAATCGCGGTTAGTGCATCGTCGAGAGAGTGTGTTGAGCTTCGGAAACGACTGAACCGAAGAGTCGGAAGCTGTGCTCTGTGTTGTCGTAGAGTGCATCGCGAGCTGTAGCAAGAGTACGTGGAGTTCCGAAAACGACCGAATAGAGTCGGGAGCTGTATTCTGGTGCTTTGCCGTGAAGCTGTCTTCACCGTGATAGTCTGAAGCCTGTGTCGCTGATCGTGTCAGCGTGTTTAAAGTAGATCTTCGACGACTCAGTCGTCGAAGCTGTCCTGATGATTAATATTGGTAAATAAAGTGTGTTTCGATACTTCATCATCAAGTGTCGTCATTATTCACTCCAAATCCACACGAACCCCGTACGTAACGTAACAACTGGTGTCGGAAAAAAAACGTAACAATATATATATATACTTAAGTCAAATGATAATGATGGCAAGTTTTGAATGCTGTTGTATATAGTATCGAGTATAACCATTATATTATTTGCGATATACAATTGCTCCACAATGCAACTTTATATATGCTACTCATGTCCTGTCCATCAACCGTAATGTCTTGTATCTTGCAACCGTATAATGATAAAATTTCTTGTAATAGGTAACAGTCGATTATCTGTACAAAAACACTATATTCACTCATGTACTTTAGAATCAAAATAGTACTCAATAAGCATAGAAAGCATATTCTGAGCAGATGGCAGACGAAATGCAGGGAACTGATATATTCACAATTTTTAAAATACTAAAAATTTTTTAAACGTCGAAGCATTTATATTTTATGTATACTCTGAATCAGGAATAGTATCAGCCTATCCTATCCATTTAGCATTGTAGCAATTAAATTACAATTTTTATATGCAAGAAAATAGTTTTTGAAAGGAAATCCCTAAATATTTTACACAGAAAAACGTAATACACGCCACTGATCTGCGGCCGAGCTGTAATATCACTGAATACTTGTAGTTCAAGCTGGGTTAAGGTCCCAGAAAACGGATAGCTGCATAGTAGTTTTCGAGGTTTGCCTCATATACAATATGAATACAATTCAGTTTTCCTTAGAAAAGTCCTCCATAAAACCATTCTTCTCTTTAAGCAAATAGCCCTCGAATGCTTTATCATAATGTAAACAATCCTATCCACTGCGTAATATCTGTCATGATAATGACTTTTATATGTTACAAATAAATACTTTATAAATTATATCTAAACCAATCATTTTTCAGCGAATCATCTTTCAGCCATATCTAAACCAATCATTAATATCTGCTGATTCGCGTGAGTTATAAATGTACAGCAGAAAAATTTAACGCAACAGTTTACAATTTTTAAAAACTCTTTTAAAGGCACTTTTTGCCCTGTTCCTTCAAACATTATGTGCTTATAAGATGCACTTGAGCTCTAGAGCTCAAAATCGTGCATGGGGTTTATCCACACTTTTCGAAAAACATTAAATTTATAACTCGAAATTTCACTGAAGTATAATAAATTTTGACTGAAGATTTCTTGAGGGCCTTATTACACGTTAGAAAATATAAGAAAGGTTTGTCTCATTGTTCTGATGAGTACTTCAAAGCTCGGCTTAACGCAAATGCATTTTTGTATGTAGCGACGTTCTTAAATGA